AAAAAAAAAAATCCTTGGCAGTAAACAGGTAACACATGAAATTAATATAAATAATTATAAATATTTACGTTTATTTCATTATTTCAACCTTTCTAGTTACATATCGGTTACATAACAATTTAAAAAAATTCCCGATGAATAGTGAAGTTCAAAAATTATTAAAAAAACGCGATGAATTAAAACGCGTACTTGAAGTAGAAGAGAATTCAATAATGTTACGCGACATTATTTCTAAAGAAAATTTTGAGATACCATCAATAATAAATTTTGAAATTCAAGAAAAAGTAAGATTTAATTGATTTATAGAACGATTAAAAATCAAAAAATGTAACATGACCAATATATTCATATATAAAATATATAGATGGTTCAAGAGATGTTTCGGGTCAATAAAAGACGCGAATGTGATGATTTCTTTAGAGCATATCGTCTCACTGGTAAAACAATTTTTCCATTAAAAGAAAATCGAGTTGGATTGAGGTTTGAAACATTTTATGGAGGTAATAAAAAATTTCTGAGTTATTAAAAAAAAATTTTAAAATTTATAAAATATATATATATGTTTTTTTCCATTAGACAAATACCGTGAACCTTATTATGTTATTCTTAGTCAAAATGAAGAAAATGGCCTATTAAGTATTTTTAAACATACGATACCACATTTCATTCCTTTGAACGAATTAGAATCAGATTACCTTAATAAAAACATAGATGTAAGCTATTATTATTATTATTTTATCATTTATTTACAAATTTTATAATTCAAAAATTATTTTTGATTGTTTTTAGAAGTTTATAAATTCGCTTGATGATTACTTACAAGCCTTTGTTACCAGACGTGAAGAAGCTAGAATAATGCAGCAGGACGTGGGAGTCACCAATTTGAAATCTAATAATGCATATAATTCAGTTGAATTTTCGGTTAGGTTAAAAGAAAGGTTAATATTAATTAGTAGTTCTACGTAATCAATTTAGTAAAAATGAATATTAAATTAATAATAATAAATTTTACAATTAAAGTGTCATCGAATTCAATCTAACTTATGAAGACTTAAAATTAACGACACCAACGAACGTAATAATGTATCAAGTTATCGAAGGTAAGGATGTATTTGACTTGAGAAATTGAGAAAAATAAGAATATCAGAATGATACTATATAATATTGATTAGATGATGATAAATCCGTATCGCGACGTCAGCGATTAAGACGACGTGAAAAAGAATTTATGCAACGAAATTTGGTGAATGCATTTAATAATATGTTTTCGGAAGTTAAATAAATTCCCTTAATCTTTGTAGTAATAATTTCGTACAAGAATCGTTTTTTTTTTTTTTCATTTATACATTACTCTCAATTTTCTAATTATTCTTTTAATGAGTTTCATTTAATAATATATCACGCAAATAAAATTTCCTAAAACATTATACACACTTGTAATTTTTCAATCTTATTATTTATTTATTTTTTTCTTTTTTAACAAGATAATGATAAATAGAGTTATATGAAAAGTACAAGACATAAATGTTAAATGTAATGAAATTGATGTATATTATAAAAATATCGTAATATGTACAGACAAACAAATAAAATAATTATTTACTACCCAAAAAAAAAAGAAAAAAAATCAAGCCAAAAAAAAAAAAAAAAAAACTATATATGTTGTATTTAAAAATACCAAAAAATCAAAAATAAACAAAGAAATAAAATTCATTACAATATAAATTAGATGACCTTATTTTTTTTATTATTTACCAATACACTACTCATATATTCATATAGGATTTGTTTATCCTTTTCAAATCATGATATAACAAATTCTTCAAAAAGAAGAATTGACAACCATGATTAATCAAATAATAATAATAAAAAAAAAAAAAAAAAAAAAAACGAAAAACGAGATTAATTACATCTACCAAATTTGGTACCATTTTTTGTTAGCCTCTCTGTTTTTAAGTTCAGCGGCCAATCTAGCAAATTCAGAGCTGGAACCACTTAAATCATTAAGTCGGTCATTTAATTCATCAAGTTTTTCACCACGTTCATTAAGTGCTTCACCAGCATCAGCCAAAGCACTTCGTGCATCACCATTTGATTGTACATCAGATTCAGTATCAGGTCTTCCTAATAATTGTTCACGTTCACTTTTTGAAATGTCAATTTCACGTGTAGCCACTTCATTTGGATTAACACCGGAATACATTCTTCGGTCAAGTTCATCAAATTCTTGTTGAAGTTTGGTAAGGACAACATTAGAACAACGTGTAATAAATTCACGTACGCTTACTTTAGGAGCACCTTTAAGTTTTTTATCCGGATGTTTAAGTTCATCATTAACTTCATCGTTTAATTTAGGTTCAATATCACGAGTAACAGGCTCTGAAGTATCTTCTTTTTCAATAACAACAGTTTCTTCAACTACTTTTTTATCATTTTCTTCTTGAACAGAATCAGTATTAACAGATAACCCATTTGTCTTATCAGTGGTTGTATTTTCAGTTACAGAAGTTGAAATTGGAGATTCCGGAACAGTAGGTTGTTCCGACACAACAGGTTGAGAAGGTTTTTTTATCATTCTTTTAACGAAATCAAATGGTTTAGATTTTTGAGGAGTTTGAGGAGTTTGCGGTGATTGTATAGGTTGTGGTTCAGAAGTAATTTCTTTAGGGGGAGTTGTTGGAGAAATAGAAAGGGGCGAAGTGTAAAAAATATTTGCTGGGGCTTGTGGTACTAAAGAAGAGTCTGGTGTAACAGTATTTTCAGTGGAGGATATATCAACTGCGGAACTACGAGGTGCATTGTTTGAAGGTGAGATATTATCAGAAATTGAAGGTGTTGTAACAACACTTGCAACACTCGTCGTTGGGCTTATAGGACTGCCTTTGGATTGGTTAGTTGAATTATTTCTTGCCAAATTGATTATATTCCCAATCACAGCTATATAGATAATAAATAAAAAAGTTATTTAAATATGTATGTATATGTCGCTGACCAAAAAAAATAATAATAAAGTTTTAAAAGGAAATATTTTCAAAAACTACTCACACGACTTTTCTCGTGGTTTAGTTTCAGGCTCTTGATCTTCCCTTTTTATAGTTATGTTATTATTTTTGATAATTTCTTCATTTTTCCTTTCTTCGGTGGTTTGTTTCCCATCGGGAGAAGGTGTAGTTGGAGTTGGAGTTGCCATGGTAACAACAGTTTGTTTTAATGGTTTTTCTTTAATATCAGTACTTTTTTTTTTATCAACTACAACAAATTTATAAAATGATGTATCAGAAGGGTTCATGTTTTTTTAAAAAATCTTAATTTTTCTACGTAAACGAAAACACGATCGTATCTTCTGAATTTATAATAAATGTTTGGGAACAAAAAAAAAATGTGGAATTTTTTGGCTAATTTTAAAATGTACGTCTTTATTTATATGCACAAATAAATTGGTATGTAAATGCAGATGTTTTGTGTTACCAGTCTTCCTTTAAAATTCCAATAAAAAATGAATTTAGATACTTCAAAACAACAAATAGGGAAGTCGGCGTGTAGGTCAAAGAAAAAATGAGTTTCATATTAATTGGACCTTTTTTCGCTTTATCGAATAAAAAATTAATGTTGTCCTCCACAATAAATTATGTAATATACAGGAGTTATCAATACGTATACAGGAGTTATCGAAGATTTATAGTACATTACTATATCAAGACTACCCTGCAAAAAAAAAGGGTAAGAACACCAGTAGTAATTTCGTATGACAAATCATTCAATTTAAATTAAACGTTAAGACAAAAATTTCATACTCGATTATGTTCGTACACGTACATTACATGCGTACAATAATACTTCTCTGTTCTTTAGAATTTACTTTTCTGAACTTCTTTATTGTACAAAAACATCTTATTTTTATAATCCAATATATTATGTAACATTAAAAATATTAAAAATATTAAAAATATAAATTTATAACAAAGTTTTTTTTTTCTCATTCAACGAATATTGGCAGGCCAAGTTATACATTTCATTTCTTTGAGATACAGTTTTCTTTTGCTCAAAAATATATAAATACAATATAAGAATGTTTTTTCTAAATATCTTTACAATGCAGTTTTTTTTTACTGTTTCGGCCGAGATACATTTAGAAAAGAATTAACCATGTATTTACAGTGCGTTAGTTATGTTTGAAAAAAAAAAACATTCGCTTTTATCTATTCTACTGTATCAAAAAATGACTTACGCTTTACGTGTATGTTCCAGACTTAGAGTAGTTTACTTTTATACTAGACTGATGACTATAATTGCATGTGGTTTGAGTTGATGAAATCTTTGACCGGATAATATGCAACTTAGTCGGTCCCGTGATTGTCATGATCGGAACTTGAATCTAAAACATCGAAAATATGCTAATATTTTGATAAATAGTATCGATATCAATTAACGCTAATTTTTGATGTCAAGTTCCGATTATGACAATCACGGGACCGACACTTTTTTTTCGGCCCGACTAAGTCGCATCCGGAAAATCTTATTTCGTCTATATCGATATTTCTCATACCGATACTACAGTACTATTACAGGTCAGCTATCGTTTGTACTACATATTTGACAACTTAAACTTATTTATACTTATCTTTTTTTACTATAAAATATATATACTTTTATAAATATATATACAGTATATTTATATTATATACGTATAATTAAAGTTTAATCGATTGTATCGGTATCTATATCAGATATAGTTTGTACGTACATGCGCACGTATTAGTGCTTTTCAAAAAAAACCAAATCCAAATTTGAAAGTTTCTATTAACGTTAAATAAATAAACTTTTTTTTTATAATAAAAAAAATTTATTTATATATTTTTGTTTTATATACGGTATATAACTTAAAAAGTATATATACATGTTTTAAAAATTTTATACATTGTATATATATATATATATTTAATTTTAAGATAGTGTAAGTTTTTACTAACATTAACAGAAAGTAGTATTAGCTACTATTACAAGTAATAAGAAAATAACTAGTTACTGTATATATGCATTTTTTGATTATTTATAGTAATTAAATAGTTTGCCCAAAAATTTTATATTAGCTGCTACAGTATATACATACTGTATATATATATATATTTATAGCATAATTAGAAAATTATTATTATTTTTTTTTTTAAAAAAAAAATTCAGCAGTTATTCCTTTATTAGGCTTTGTAATAATCATCTAAATTATTAAAATTTGTAAAGAAACTTATTAGTAAGTGATAAACTTTAAACTTGTTGGCAGATAGTATATGAAAACTATTTCTAAACAACAAGTACTGTATCTAAAAGCCACCAACTATACTTAAATTACAACATAAAAACTAACCTAGTTGCCTACTAAATACTTATGTTTAACCTGTTATAACAGAGAATCTCTCTTCTTGATATTCTCTTCTGAGCTTGAAGTTAAATACCATATTAACAGAATGCTTCTACCATGTGTCATGACCATCTATTCTTTCTTTAAAACTCTTTCTACCTAAGTCTGGCAAAGTATATAATCTCTTACTTATATATAAAGAAAAAAAATTTATCATATTTTATAAAAAAAAAAAAAACAAATTTTGAAAAAAACATAAAACAAAAAAAAAATAATAATAATATTCTAAAAAAGATTCTATTATAAATAGAAAAAGATAAGAAAAGCAAAAAAAAAATAGTGTAGTTATGATAAACAAAATATACTAAAAGAAAATAACACTATTATAATCTGTACAAGATTTAAAAAATTCTATATTAATAGCAACTAATTATTATATCTCAATTGTAAAATATTAACTTATTATTAAAAACTTATTCCAGGTACTAATTTTATTCAGGTATTTTCTAAACAAGAGAATTGTTCTTTTTTCTATACTATAGCACTATGTTGATAAGCAAAACAAATATATAGTTTATTCTACTGAGTTTGTTTGAATTTAGTAGATGTAAACAATGCTGATTTTTTGGTAAGAATAAGCTAAAAAGCTCACTTTTTTTAAGAATTTTTTGTATAAACAGCAAAATATGAGAGTGAGTAAAAGATCACCAAAACCATGTTAAAAAGAGTACTGTATGTTTTATTTATCTAGAATCAAACCCTTCACCCACAACATATACAGTATTAAATTTTTTTAATAAGCAATAAACTCTGAGCTTGTTGATAAATAGTATATAATAACTATTTCTAAATGACAAGTGCTATGCTACAGTAAGTAATAAACTCTAAGCCTGATAGCAGGTAGTATATAAAAACTACTACTAAATAACAAGTGCTGTCTTACGCCTATATTTTATAATTTAGATCTCACTTTTGAGGTTGCTTTGATATCTGGTATTTTTTTTCTTAGTAAAAGTTTTTTAAAAATTATAGTTCAAATGATTATTAGTAAGAGTAATTAGAAAATTATTTAAACCTTTTAATTAGTTGTTTATTATAATCTTTTTTAATATAGATAGATTTACTATATAAAATATTATAAATTATAATATATAAAAACTATTTATTTTAACTAATTTAAACTCTAACTTTTACTCTAATTCTAACTATTTATAAGCTTAATTTGGGGTTGAGATTCTGCAGTCTAGTGGTTTAGACTATATATGCTATAAAAATAAAGTTTTAAAAATAGCCTATTTTGTTTTCACTAGAGCAAATTAAAATTTTTTATAAGAAAAAGCAAATCTAATTTATATATTTGTTTTTAACTATTTTTAACCAGGGGTGATTTAACTACCCCTATTAAAATTTAAAGTTAGGGTACGGTTTTAGAATTTTTTTTTTTTTTTTTATATATAATATAATATGTATTAGATATAAGATTTTGATTTTAGTTTTTATAAGGTTTTCAGGGGTTCTGAACATTTTTACTTAGAATACCCGATCCAGTTTACTTAGTATATTTTTGAGATATAGCACCCCTGGTGATTTAACCAGGGAGGCAAGTTAGCAATAGTCTATATATTTATACTTTTTATAATTTTATCTATTTAAAAAAAGTATCAAAAAATTTTGTCTTTTAAGTAAAGTAAGTTAAATCAATTTTATTTTTAAATTTTAATTTTGGGATTTAGAATCTGAAATAATTTTATCCTTATCTATCCTTTAATTATTAAAGATTTGCAGACAAATTTGGCTGCATAATTACTATAAATATATCTTTAATCTACTTTTTTAATTATTTAAAATATTTAAATAAAATTTAATATAATAATATTTGAAAATAAGAATTATA